AAAACCGCGATAGAGTGAAGCCGCGGAAGTCGAAGCGTGAAGTGGCGAGGGTTCACTGTAATGCCATTTGACTGGATATATTAACTGTAGCAAGTTGGTATCTTTAAAAACATGCAATATTAACTTCATGTGCTGTTTCTAAAAGTCCCTTTGAGCCTGACAGATAAATAATTGAAAAAAGAAGAAATAATTGGCTTCATTGAAGGGTTTTGTTTTTTAAATTTTTATTGTGAATTGGGTGGAAGTCACCATGTTTTCATTTAAAAAATTATCAAACCTCATTGTTTGCCTTATTTCTATTTCCATCATATATGTAAGCAATTGTTTCCCCCTTATTAGAAGGGGATTTAAGTGTTTACTTAGCATGGGCTGAAGAAGTATCATTTCCTTAAAGAAAAAAATAATTGTGAATTTGGTGAAGGTTACTGAAACAATCCATTTACTATTCAATTTGTACCTGTTTTGCTTCATGTCATTCATTGCAATTCCCATAATGTGACATTACTTTTTCCCACTTCCTCCCTGTATTTTTTATTTATGCTCTGCCTCCTTAACTCTTCTGAACTTGGTCCTGGAATAATGTTGTCCTTTTATAGACCTCTCTGTTGATTGGGTAAACATTGAGCCATGAGGGTGACTACATTTCCACTCCTGAAGGGCATGGAGGGTGGGACAAGGCGTGTCTAAGGGCCAGAGGCCCTATGTGATCAGTAGGTTTGGTCTTTTCTTTCCCGTTAATAATTATTTAATTTTTAAAAATTATGAAACATGTTTAGTAGCTATGAAAGCAATGCAAATGAAGATAAATACCATGGTGAAACAAACTTTTTGTGGATCAGAATGTACTTGTATTTGCATTTAAAAAAATCATTTTATTGGGAGGCTCGCACAACTCTTATCACAATCTATACATACATCCATTGTGTCAAGCACATTTATACATTTGTTGCCATCATTCTCAAAACATTTTATTTCTACTTAAGCCCCTGGTATCAGCTCATTTTCCCCCTCCCTCCCCATCCCTCCTCCCTCACAAACCCTTGATAACTGATAAATTATTTTGTCATGTCTTTTTTTACAATTTTCCATTTTGTTTTAATTTTTCCTACTCTATTCTGAATCTTCTAATGTTACACATTTCAGAACAGTTGGTAGTTAGGCATCATTTGGTTTCAGGGAAGCTAAGGTTCAAGTGGCTCATTGGACTTAATTGCTTCCATGTGGCTTCACTCTTGGTATGGAGAGGGTATTTTAGATGACCACTTACAAGGGTTTAAGACCCCTGTTGCTCCTCACCAAAGTGGATGTACACTGTCTTTTCGGGACTGTGTTAAGCTGAAAGTGTTTTTTTCTAACTAAAGAACCGGAAAAAAGTATTTTAGACTAGATGTTAGTTGAGATCTTAGTTGTCTCTTTTTTTGTAGAGGTAAGAAGTATGGAGAAACAGCTAATGAATGTGGAGAAGCCTTCTTTTTCTATGGAAAATCGCTTCTGGAGTTGGCAAGGTATGTCTTTCAAGTCTCAGTTTATAGGTAGGATGTTAGTCTATTTTTAAAAACTCAAGTTTTCTTCTATGATGTACAAGTTTTAAGGTTTCACATGAGTTAAATGAGCCTGGTTTTACTAATAATATTATGAATGGATGTGAAAGTGTAATGTATCTTGATGGAAAGGGTAAAAATAAATACTGAAGTTTGGGCTTTTAAGGTTATTAGTAGGAAAGAACTTTCCACTACTAAATGGTCTTATGTTGAAGTTATATTACAGAACTGAAAATAATCAGTTATCTATTGAATTTCAGTTCTAGTAAATTTCCCAATTTTGTCAATCTTAGAAGGCTTCTGATGTATTGACAATCATGTCAGAATGTCGATTGGCCATATAGAGAAGAGTGGGTTAGAAAGTTTGGGAAAAAAAGAACCCCACTGTACAGTGAATACATAGCAGGACTTTTTATTTGATAAGTCTTGAGTGTCTTTCATGTGGCTACACGAGGGAAGGGTGTGCTTTCCCATGAGAACTTAAAGTTTTATTCGCTACACTCACTTACTATTGCTTCTCTGTACATTTTTAATTTGTTATGAAAAATTAAAATTCTAGCCATATCATCCCTTTGATGCCTTCTCCTTTTGTTCTCCTAGAATGGAGAATGGTGTTTTGGGAAATGCCCTGGAAGGTGTGCATGTGGAAGAGGAGGAAGGAGTAAAAACAGAAGAGGAATCTTTGGTAGAAAACAATGATAACATTGATGGTATGTAGATTTGCACCAGGCATTCAAGAGATGCAATGTTGCATACTTCTTCTCTGTAAGTGATGGAAATAGGCCTCTCCTTGCCTTGGATGGTCTCCGATGTGCCTGATGATACCTGCATTTGGGAGAGACTGCAGTGGGGTTAGCCCATTTGCTGAAACTGAGCAACTGTTGGTGTTCTAAATATTAACTATAACCAGAAATATTTTCCTGATGCAAAATTTTTAAGTCTATGTAGCTCAGTTTTAATAGAAGTGTTTTCAAAGACTTTTAACGTTTTTATATGTTTACGAAAATTAAATGATAACTTCTACATTGAGTTTGGGTGTTAGATATTTACATATCAGGTTGGGTGGATTGTCTAATGCTTAAAGGAAAAACTTGGCATTTTTTACCTAATTAATAGAATGCTCAAGTAAAACTATCAAGGAGTTTGCGTTTCTTTTGGAATAGTTGCTCTGCTAGCTGTGGTACTTTTTGCTTTCTTACTGGGCAGATAATATTTAGTCCATCTGCTTTTGCTTAACAAGCCAGGTTGTTTGAGGGAATAAAGGGAATGTATGTTTACAATTTCACATTTCCATTTATGCCTTTAACATTAAATTCGAAGACATGTTTATGCTTCATATTCTTTAACCATGTAGAAGAAGCAAGGGAAGAGTTGAGAGAACAGGTTTATGACGCCATGAAAGAGCAAGAAGCCAAAAAATCAGAAGACAAGTCTCTGGTAAAGCCTGAAACTCATAAAGAACAAGAGACTGAAATGGTGAAGGGTGGAAGAGAAGACATGGATTTAAGTGAGCATGTTGTAGAAGAGCCACAGAAAAAAGTTGAATCAACTCCAGATGAGTTAACTGAAACTACCAAAGAGGTGAACGTGGCAACAAGAGGACTGGATGAAGCTGAAGTTGCTTCCGGGGAGCCAGAACACAAAGCACCCAATTCTGTTGAAGGGAAATTGGTGTCTGGAACAGACATCGAGGAAGAAAGGTGCAGAGAAAATGAAGGTCAGGGGAAGCAGGCAGAGGTTACTATGAGCCTGGAGGAAAAGCCCAAAGAAGCAGAACCGTCTGATGTGAGTGTGGAAGAGCAGGGCACTGCAGTGGAGGGAGGAGCAGAGTCTGTAGATCCAATAGTCAAGCCATTGGATGTGGGTGGGGAGGAGCCAAAGGAGCAGGTAGCTCCATTTGAAAAAGAGCCAGGAGAGACTGTTCCTGAGGAACCTCTAGTAGGCCAAGAAGTGCCCCTTGTTGAAGAGCCATCCGAGGTGAGAACAGGGGTTGCCAACGAGCCTGGAGCAGAAGACTCTGAAAAGCCTAGGCAGGTGGCTAAGGCTCCTTCTCCAAAGGATGGTAAAGTCAATGAACAGCCAGCTTCAGGAGAACAGACTCCTATTGAACCGCAAACATCTGCAGAAGGACCTGCAGGACAAAAAGATGAATCAGGAGTAGAGGATACTGTCAGGGCAGAGCTGATTCCTAGCAAGGTGGAGACTAAACTGTCTATAGAACTATCTGCAGCTGGAGATGAGGTTGAGACCAAGGTAGCCCAGGGAGCTCCGGAGAAATCACCTGAAGACAAAGTTAAGATAGCTGCTAATGAAGAAACACGAGAGAGAGAAGAACAGATGAAAGAGGGTGAAGGTAACCGGGAAATAAGCAAGAGTTGCAGTGGGTGGAGTACATTCTGGATTTGACTCACTAATCTTGGGTAAAAGTCAGCCTTCCATTCAGGATTTTCCGTCTGCCTTTGGATTAGAAAAAGGGGGTATTTTTAAAGAAGGCTTTGATAAGTTACAAGAGTTAAGTAAAAAGCAAGTTTTTTACCTGGCTTATGAACTAACGCTTTTTTACTAACTGCAAAATAGGCTTTGTCTTCATTTCTGAAAGTTGGCTAGCTATAGTACAATTTATTTTACCGCACTAGCCAATAAGAAAAACGGAAGCGGTGGACGAGGGGTGTGAGGAAGAGGAAGAGCGGGCTAGGCTGGCAGAGAATGCTGAATGGATGTTCATTTGCATGCCTCAGGATTTTTTAATTGACTGTTTATGTGGATCTTTTTCTCTGCTTTAGGAAGCAGGAACAGCAGTAGAATCCACAGACCTGGTACATTTAAGCAGGCATGCCATTAAATTGAGGGCCGCTTACCCTTGAATGTTTAATCACTAGTGTTATAGAATTCTGATACCCTATCTACTCTTCCTTCAGAAATGGTTTAGAGGCTTTAAATATATTATTAAGCAGCCTTAAAAAAAGACAACCATTAACTCTTGCTGCTTTCCCTCATTTCATGCTTGCTGTGGCTGCTAAACAGAATAATTGCATAGAATATTTATAAAGGGGGGTTTCTTTGCATTATATTCCTATTATGATTCAATTCCAATTGGTAGTAAGCCTCCAATTAGTAATTGTATAATTGGCAAGTCTGACTTGATTGTATTATCATTTGAGGATTCTACTGTATAAGGTTCACCTAACACTAGCAACTAATAACCATAGGTATATTCCCATTAATTGTCATCACTTTATATAAGAGTGCCCATAAGTTTTAGATTTTCAAAGACTCAACCTTAATTGCCGCTCTTTCCAATAGCCTTCCTACCTACTGTGTAGGGCCCTGCACTCCAGCCAGCACAGGCATGGTGAGCAGAAGTGAACTGACTGAATGGTAGCACCACTGGACTTTTAGCAGTTCTTTGTGGGAAAAGCATAGATTAAATGAATTCTACAACTTTTTTTAAATTCCCATATCATGATACTTAGGATACTGAGCAAGAGTAAGTCGTAAGCTCTAGCAAAATCGGACCTTGAGTGATAAACAAGAGCAGAGATAGGGTATTTCCGCATCATCATCATCAAAACCGACTATTGAGTTACATCATGTTAACATTGTTAGAGCTTTCACATATACATTGCTTTTGAGTCCATGACTTCTGGTGTCAACCTGTAAGATATTGAACTTTCAGCAGAAATGACCTGATGACTCCTATTGAAATGATTTACAATATATTCAGTTATGCCACATTTTAAAAAATACTGTTTTCCACATGAGGGGTGCTTAAAAAATGTGTGGAAAATTTTATCTTTTAATTCTATTTTTATGAACACTTTGAAGCCCTCTGCCCTCATCACATGGGCTGGGCTGCCCCGATTAGGTGACTCTGGCCCTGTTGCAGGCCCCCCGCCCCCGCCCCCTCATGTAGCAGCACCGCTCTGCAGAAATGTGTGTCTATAGATTAAGCATGGGCTTTTCCTCTTCACAGAAAAATTAAAACCTCATTTCTTATTACCCTGTGGTTTTGCCATCTCTTAAACTGTTGGTATCTATAATAAAAAAATTTGTATGACTTTGATAAGTGAATATTTTAAAATTATAAGGCATGCCAATCTGTCATGTTCTGTTTTTTGTGGGGTTGTTGAAGCAATCCCAATCAGTAATTAGCTTTTAAAGGTGTTTTTTCCCTTTGTAAGTCATTCTTCTGGCTTTTACTACTCTTTGCCCATACTGTTTTTTTGTTTGTTTGTTTTGTATTTTAAATAGCAAATATTTATTCACTCATACAGTTTTTTCTTTTCAGTTTTATTGGTACTTCATGCATAGTCATACAATTCAATCATATTAAGAAGAGTTATACAATTAACACCACAATCAATTTGTGCCCATACTGTTAAAGTTCAGAGAAATGTTACAAAACAGCATTTCTTTCTCTGAAAAATTACAATAGATATAGCACAAAGATACTACACTTCCAGAGAAACTTGGAGAAATACCAAGTTGAACATATTTCTTTACTAAGGATATTAGTGCATTTCCTCATTAATACCTGGCTGCCAGCCTAGGAAATTTTGTAAGAAAAGCATGGCTGTTGTAGCTCTGCCACAAAGGAATAGTACAAGTTCCTAAACAGAAATCAGTATTCTTCGCAGATTATTTTAATCATTTTAGTTTAAAATTTTGATGGGAAACTAGGCAGTAAGATGTTTTATGCCAAAACATTTCATTTTCTAGCATTCTGGTATAATTAGGAAGCGATACTAAATAGCTATGCATGTAAAATTATAATTTTTTTTTTGTAAGGAAGCATAGTTTATTTGAAAAAGAACTATAAAAGCACAAGTTGATGTTCTTACTCTGAGTTTTTTTTTTTTTAATTTTATTTATTTATTTTTTTACTCTAAGAGTTTTACAAGGAGCAACCGAGTCCAAAGAGACCTCCAAGCATAATAGAATTATAATTTACTGACATTTGTATATATTTTTTCCCTATGAGTTTGGAATATCCAGTGAGGGACTTTTTTTTAAAGTTTATTATAAGAAACACCTATGTTCATCTCAGCTATTTTGCACACTCAACTGGAGGATGGACTTTGTTGTTTAAGAGTCAGTAAAAGCCCCCATCCTGTCTAACTTTGGGAAATTCAGGCCATGTAACCACTTCTGAGAATTTGGGTATTCAGAGATAATGGTGGTGTGGTATGCTGTGGTGGTAGTTTAGTTTGTATTTCAGAGTACATCGTGTAGAAAAGTGGGGCTTGTGATAAGTTTTTGCTGTATAGGTAGCTTTAGCTTTTGTTTGCCTTTGTAAAAACTTGATTAGTTCATTTTAGGTATTTGTAACATCAGAATTAGTTTTTTTCGCCTGCTACCTATCTTAAAGCAATATTGGTAGGAAGGGGGAAAAGTTTTAATGTAAACTTGGCTTCAGGGCCCAAGGCCTTAATTCCCATAAGGCTCTCCAAGATAGAACTGCCCCTGTGGTTTCAGACTGTAACTCTTCATGGGAATAGAAAAAGCCCTGTCTTTATCCTGCAGAACAGCTGGTGGTTTTGAACTGCTGACCTAGTTAACAGCCAAGCACATAACTCAACTATTCCACCAGGGCTCCTCCTTTAAGATAGTTGTAGTTTTCTTATGTATCTAAAGATACATAAGTAGCATTGCTGGTGTTAAAGGTGCTTGAGGTAGGCGCACCACAACCAATTTATGTATTTGTACCAGTAAAAAGCCCACTTTAATAACATTCTAAGCTGTTTTACCACCCAGTATACAGATTACGTGCTGAGCTTTCTATCAGGAGCTTGTTCTTTATTTACAGGCATTTTACTTTTGAGTACTTACTGATGAAGATGGTTAAATGTATTAATGTGGCTGCACATTTAAAATAAATTATTAACTAACTACTTTAATTAAATAACATGTAGCACTACTCATTCAAATTGTGCCACTCATTCAAATTCTGCACATGCTAGGAGCTGGCTGGAGTCTGGCTTGCCCATTGGTGAGAGTAGGTAGGACTGTGCTTTGCCTCTTCACAGCACGTGGGGAAGTTAGTTTCTTGAGCATTCTTGCTCTTTAACTTTTGGTATTTCTCAGTAAGAGTGGTTTAAAGATAACAGGAATATTGACGGAGGCTCCATCTACTGGCTTTTCCATTGTGTAGAAGGAGCTTTCTGTTGAGAATAAGAGGCATTAGCCAGTCTGTCTTGATCTGAATGATTCAAATTGACCTTTATTAAGAGAAACACTAAGCCTTTTAATTACTGAAGGTCTGACCTATAAGATTAGCAAATTGTCAGATTATATGAGTATTAGACTAACCACTCACTTGATCCCGTTCAAATATTATCGACCGGCCTGTGTGAGCATCTGGTCTGTTCTGCCTCAGATTATTAAGTGTTTATTTCCGAAGCTAGTTTAAAAATAGTGCTATTTGTGTTGTCAATACTGAGAAATTTTTGCTTACAGAAACTGAAGGCTCAGAAGAAGAAGATAAAGAAAATGACAAGGCTGAAGAAATGCCAAATGATTCTGTTCTTGATAACAAGGCAAGTTCCTCATTCAGTACTGTTTTCTACTTATGGTTGGACTATGAGTTACTAGTATAGGTGTGCAAGTTACATATAGCAGTTTCTTGGTTTCCGATTGGAGATCCTATCTCATTTATGCCTAGAATGGACAGATCCTTTTCATCTCAGAGGGTCTTGTCTGACAGGGCAGATTTATTTACATCTCACTGGTGTTGATGCTGGTAAAGTGATGATTTATTATAGAAGCCTTGTAGAGAATTTTTTAAAGGGAGAAAGTCTGAAATTTTAATCCCATCCCCTCCTCCAAGCCATACCAAATTGTACATTTAAGTTATGTAATCTAATATATTATTGTACGTCTGTCTAATACCAATCATTTGGATACACTTTAGTCTCTTCAAGAAAATGAAGAGGAGGAGATTGGGAACCTAGAGCTTGCCTGGGAAATGCTGGATTTAGCAAAGATCATTTTTAAGAGGTAAAACACTTGGTCTTTTTAGACTCAAGTGGGAACTTGCTGGTTGCAAATAGAAAAGCAGTTAAGATTAAACAAGTCTTATTAAGGTTTCTGAACAACTTTTCTTGTTTTAGGCAAGAAACAAAAGAAGCACAACTTTATGCTGCAGAGGCACATCTTAAACTTGGAGAAGTTAGTGTTGAATCTGGTAATACATTTTTTTCCTTACCTAATTCTTTTATTTGCTTTTAAATAAATTCCTTACATTTCAGCTTAATGATTAAAAGAGTACATTTGAGTTCGCTATATAACCTCTAGAACAGTGGTTCTTGACCTGTGGGTCGCGACCCTTTTGGGAGTTGAATGACCCTTTCACAGGGGTCGCCTTATTCATAATTAGCAAAATGACAGTTATGAAGTAGCAACGAATATAATTTTATGGTTGGGGTGTCACCACAACATGAGGAACTGTATAAAGCGTCACGGCATTAGGAAGGTTGAGAACCACTACTCTAGAAGAACCTCTTCCAAAATGTACTTCAGTGAAAGTCTTCCAAATTTTGTCCGTCGTTTTTTTTATGGTTAAATGAGATGCTACAAAGAATTGAAGTGGGAAACCGGGGAGCTTATCTGCATAATGGGTCTGAAAATGGGAAGCACTTTATATGAAATGCTGTTATTTACTTGCAGTCCCCTTTCGTTTTATCGTAGAAAATTATGTGCAAGCTGTGGAGGAGTTCCAGGCTTGCCTAAGCCTGCAAGAGCACTACCTAGAAGCCCACGATCGTCTCCTTGCAGAGACGCACTACCAGCTAGGTCTGGCCTATGGGTACAATTCCCAGTACGATGACGCAGTCGCACAGTTCAGCAGATCCATGGACGTCATTGAGAAGAGAATGGGTGAGTGCGCACTAACTTTCATGGCGATCTTGATGTTTCCAGCTACCCACAAGGTTAAAAAAAAAGATCCTTTTTTAGTAATTGTTACTGACCACTTCAGTTTACTTGTTTTTTAATTAGCTGTGCTAAATAAGCAGAAGGAGGAGGCTGGAGGATCACCTACTGAATATGAGAAAGAAATTGAGGAGCTGAAGGAACTACTACCTGAAATTAGAGAGAAGATAGAAGATGCAAAGGAGTCCCAGCATAGTGGGAATGTAGCTGAATTGGCTTTGAAAGCTACTCTGGTTGGTTCATTTTCCTAAATTCAAGTTTGATACCATTGAAGGCATTGTGGGGTTAATGTCCTCTGTTAAGAACTGTAGTCATTAATTGATATATCCAGGGAGTTGGTGGACAGAGCGGTGTGAAAACTCAATTATTTTATTGAATATTAGAGTGGATAAATAGGCTCTAGAGCCGAATTGAGTTTGAATTTCATTTCTCCTTAGCGTGTGTACATAGCCTGTTATTCTCCACCTTAGGTTAGCTAATCTGTAAAATGGAGGAAAATATCTGTATTTACTGTGATTAAAGAAAGTACTTTTCTAACAAATGTAAGCCATAAGAATTTTTTTTGGGCCAATTTTAAATCTCTAACCCAAGATTAGCAGCTCTTGGCTCCTGAGATATTGGGGTGTGATCTACCCTGTAGATCACGGTATAAGGTATAGTGTAATATTTAATCTCTGCATGGTGGCATAGTGGTTACATGTTGGGCAACTCAGGGCTTAATCAGTGTGTAGATGGTGGGTACCTTTGTAGGGCTGTGGGTGGCCTGGGTTCTATTCCTGGGACCCACTGGGTTTGTCGTCTCTCACAGGTGGAGAGTGCTACTTCAGGTTTCACTTCTAGTGGAGGAGGCTCTTCAGTCTCCATGGTGGGTATTCAGGTGATTTTTCTCTCTTAAAATTAGGCTCAAGTGATTGTCTTCCGTCTTATAAAATGCTTTGTGCATTACTAATACAAGCTCCCTTTCACCAGATTGCCAGTAGAAAGTCAGCAGATGGTGCTTCCTCATCAAACTGTGTAACTGATATTTCCCACCTTGTCAGGAAGAAGGTAAGTCTGTGTATAGCCGTGATTTCTTTACCCCTTTCCAAGTGTGACTTTAAATTTTAAACATCCAAAGCATATAAAAGGAGCTACCCTTTCTGGTAAATGCTTCAAATTGCAGTAAGCTGCAGACATTCACTTGGCAAGAATGTCAGAAATATCTGTGTGAGAATGTAATTTTCATTGCAGCCCACAGAAAACGACCGAGGCGGGGACTGGCCAGCTGAAGACCATCTTAGAGGGAGGGGCTGGCCAGTTTCTGACATTGTTCACCAGTAGCCCTGCTGATGCCTGGCTCACTGACACAGCTGTTCATTTCCCAGTCAGACAAGTCTTAACTTTTGCTTGTTTTTCTGATTCAAGTACTTGTTTGGTAATTGTTCAGATCTCGTGCTCACGCCCACCCCATCAACGGTTGAAATTCTCTATGTTGAGACAAGTGGATTTGTTTTATATAGTTCAAGTTGACATCTGCCCCGTGCACCCTGACCCCAGGTTATGTCTGTGGCAAAGCAGAGAGACCCTTAGAGGTCTGAGTCTTGATCTTAAGGATCTATGTATGCACCACAGAGGGAGGGAGGTGTTTGGCATTTCATGTACTCGCTTTTATAAACATTAATTATATCTGTGAAGCCTTCACAATTATCTCTTTAGAGGAAACCAGAGGAAGAGAGTCCCCGGAAAGATGAAGCCAAGAAGCCCAAACAAGAGCTGGAGGTGAATGGAGGCAGAGGGGACGCAGCCCCCGGTGGAAATGACATGTCTGAAAACATGGAGGAGGTGCGAAGTTAAAGCAGGGCTTGACTTCCTGTCTCATTTCTCTTTGTTCTCTGGCTTGGGGAAACTCATCCTCTCGAGTGCATGCACCTCACCTTGAGCCTATTTGTTAGAGCGAATCAAAGCAATGAACGAGACATGGGAATTTCATCGATGCATGGAACTTAGTTGCCATAGGCACACACACACACACACACACACCCCATGAATGCCTGAGAAAGTCTTTGACCAAAGCATTGCTGCTGGCTTTATGTAATATATGGATATTGGCCATGAGTAATCACAGTAAATAAATTCAGGAAATTGCAAGGAGCAAGGCTGAATTTGTAGGATTTGGGTTCCCGTCCTCTGATTGGGTATATGAAACACGGGCACTTATGCCTGGGCTCTCTTTGTCTTTCAGGCTGAGACTCAGGCAGAAAGCCGGGCAGCAGTGGAGGGCGGAGCTACAGTTGAAAGCACTGCAAGTTAAAGAGAGGGAAGAGTGATTTTCCTTCTGAGACAAAGTGTTTTTTTTTTGTATATAATGTATTTTTTCACTTTTGGGGGATTCTTTTTGTATAACTTCAATAAAGATTGTAAGCAAAGGCCGAGACTTTGATGGTGTTTTCTTAAAATACTGACAGAATCTGTGCCTTGGAGCACTCCAGGTTTTATATTGTGGCCAAAGGTACCTGCAACCCCCTTACTGATCTCTGTTGAAAAGTTTAAATCCTGTCTGTTATCTGTAGGTGATCAGATCAAGTACAGCTTTAGGCTCTTCATCTTCCAATGGTGCTGTTTCCCTCCCACCTTTAAATACCCATCTGAGCCCAGCCGTCTTGCAGTGGTGCTGTCCCTGGGTGGGGATTCTGAAGACAAGACTTGGTGAAGCGCTTCCTCTTTGGTGCTGATCATGGATGATGGACTTTGGCTCTGTTGACAGCAGTCTCCATTCAGGCCTTGGGTAGTAATCTCGCTACCCACCTGGTCCCCAACTGGGGCTTTAATCCTGCCTTGGAAAAAGAACTCTGAAGAAAACCCCTGGAGCATAATCTGAGGAAAACAATTGATCTATTTAATTGTAGATCATTTGAGTGAACTCAGTGGTTTGAATGAGGTGGAAGTGATGGACACTGATGGTGGAAGAATCTTGGGGAGGCTGGCTGTTACATTATTTTTCTGTATAGAAAGGTTGAAATATAACACTCAGAATTGTTACTGTTTCTACAGTTTTGACATAATCAATAAAGATGTTAAAAGGCTCCTGGTCTGTACTTTGTGTTTGGAGGTCTTGTAGTAGGGTCCTAGAGCAGTTCAGTATGGGATATAGGGGGTTAATAATTTGCACCCACCAATTCTAAGAGCCCTTTGCCATATGGGGTAGACAGGAGGTTGGAATCTGCTGGTTCTCAAGGACCTGTTTGCAGATTTGATCAAAAGAGTTTTTCTGGCCTTGGCCTGGCTACGGAATCTGATTTATTCTGTGAACTTCCTGAAGTCCTTACTTGTATTTTAGATGTTCTGCTTAATTTGGTCAAAACAGTGCCATCATGGGTCCAGGACCAGTATCTAATTTCAAGTAGATGGCATATGTGACCCCACTTACAAACTGTACTAGGCTGGGGTCCACCCTATACAGAAGGCTGTATTGTATATCTATGGGATTAATCTATCTTCATTTTTCTACCGTAGAGCAGCTGGTGAGTATAAACTGCAAACCTAGAGATTTGCAATCCAGCCCTTAGCCAACAGCACCATTGGGCTCTGTCAAAGGCAGCTACCCAAAACCAAACTCAGTATCGTGAAGCTGGTTAAGATTGGGTAGTGTCCAACATGTAACCCCCATCAGGGCTAACTGAAGGCTACAGGAATACCCTATTTAGGAGGAAGTTTAGAACTGAGATTTCAAGTGCTATAGCAGTAAGAACTAATTTAGCAATAGAAAGGTAGAGAATAAACTTTACCAAGTTCCTTTAGCTAGAATGACAAAGTACCTGGTCACCTTTCAAGCCTTGGTGGTGCTATCAGGTAAGCACTAGGCTACGAATTACAAGGCCTGCAGTTTAAACCCCACCAACCACTTCACAGGAAGAGACAAGGGCCTCTGCCATTCAGTCTGCTGACTCAGTAAAACCCTGTGGATTCGAGGGAATACGAGGTGTAGAAGGTCCGTCTTTCTCCCTTGAGTGCCAGATGTAGATTGCAGCCCAATGCATCACCACCAGCTATTCACAGCCTAGCCTCAAAGACCCTGTAATGGTACATGATTTGTCAGAATCAATTTAATCATTTTCAAAAATCTCGTGCCAGATGGCATTGTGAAATGTGAAATTCTCATTTAATCCTTACAGCAGTCTCTTACAAAGGGGGGATGGGGTGGCGAAGCAGGTCAAATAATAGAAGGTGGTTGAAGCTCAATATATGTACTCACAGCTAATACTTGCCTCTAGGCTCTGTCAGAACATGACTGGGCACAGAGCTCAGGCCTAGTACTCGAGCCTACATTCATCACCTGGGCTCAAGTCCAGTGTGGGAAGAACAAAGCTGTGGTGAGGACTCCAGCTCTCATCTATCTTGGGTCCCGTTGCAGGGCTCCTCTGTAGGGCGTGGATCAGCAAAGCCAGCTGAAGGGGCGGGAGAGGTGGCTTCCGGTAAAAATAAGCTGGACATCTGTGGAATGGGAGAAGGTGGGTCTTTAGCAAGATGGTGTAATGTTAAGAGCAAAGTTCTGACGACTAGATTTGCTCCTATCCTGACTTATGACCCACTTAAAACTTGTTTGTGCTTTGATTTCATCTGCCAAACAATGTACGTACTGCTGCTGACTGACTCAGTGACAGTAGAATCACTCCAGGTTTCTAGGCTTTAACCTTCAAGGGGAGCATATTGCTACTTTTATCTCCCACTGGGCAGCTAGCTGATGGGCTCATAACTAACCCTTCTGTTAGCAACCTGGTTGCATCATTAGGGCTCCTTACCTGTCTAGGAGCAGCCTTGGGGCCATGAGTTACAGTACGGGCAATTCATATTCACCAGTAGCTCTGAGAAGATTTACTGACTCAGAACCCTGAAAAGGGTAGTCCTTATCTGTCCCAGAGGCCACTATGAAGGAATCTGAATCAACTGGATGGTGAGTTTTAATGATGGGAAGGAGCCTGATGGTGAAGTGCTCAGCTGCCATTGGAAAGGTTGGTGATTTCAATCCACTGGCCCTGCCTTTGAAACTGCATATGGTTTTCAGCAGCTACTGCTTCTGAAGTGGGGCGCTCAGTTCTTGGACTGAGAGCTCCACTGACCTGTTCACTTTAGGTGACCCTGCTGGCATTTGCAATGCTTCTAGCATCCCAGCAAAACATAAGACAAACTGACAGACAAGTGACGGCCGGAGTAGGGCCAGTGCGTTCCTTAGAGGCAAGGATGTCAAGACTGTCAGATACTTGGGATGTATTGTCAGGAGAGACCAGTGCCTGGAGAAGGACATCATACTTGGTAAAGTGGAAGAGCAGTGAAGGAAGGGAAAGCCCTTAATGAGAGGAACTGACAGTAGCTGCAACATGGACTAAGGCATAAGAACAATTGGGAGGGCGGCAGTGTTTCATGCATAGGATTGCTATGGGTTGGAGCTGAACTCAGCACCTAACAATAGCCCCTCCTTGGGGAAAAGGGACAGCAGTTCTACCTTGTCCTATGGGGTCACTGAGTTGCAATTTAATCAATAGCAGGTTTGGTTTGGGGAGTAGGGAAGGAGTTGAGTTAATGTACAGAAAGCATTTGATAGTAACTGGCACAGGTGGTCAGTAAAGATTGGCTATGATAGCCATACCTTGGGTACCCCTCTTTCCAGTGGGACCCTCACTGGAGGTGGGTGCTGGTACTCATGGGCACTTGCTGGGTTGATCTCTGCCAATGTCTGGACCCTTGCATCTCTCGCATTCACCAGGCGCAGGAAGAGCTCGGCCTCACCTGCCTGAAGAGAAGTGACATGGTACTGCACCTGTACTACGGAGGACTAAGCCTGGCCTCCGCATCTTCTGTATTCACCTGGGGGTTTGAATTCAGCTGTCCAGGGTCAAGGCTGGAGTCCACTGGAAAGGACTGAAGTGGGAGGCGCCATCGGCCACTTAGCACCCGCTGATCCTGGTCAAATAGTACCAATGAGGCCCAGGCCTTTGGCTGCGGGGTTCTGGTCCAGCCTAGCCCCTGCCAGGCCTGCAGTTTGCAGACTAAGGATACTGACGGTGAGGGTGGCAGCCTGCAAAACAAAAGAATCAGAGTTGCATGCCTTTCCTAGAAATAAATCCTCAGAACTATTGTTCCTGTATGAGAATGAGACAACTTTGCCAGGACAAGGACAAATACTACATGAAAAACAGAACGAATATGAGACAAGCTTCAATTATACCCAAGAACCCCCAAGTCAAAATCCCATTTACTGACCTGGGCACAGGCTGCCTGCTGGCAAGGATGGCACAGTTGCCCATGGGCCCAGGAGCTGGAGGCGGGGGCAGACAAATGGCTGGGGGCAGCACTGTAGTCCCTCCTGTATCCTGTCCATCTCTGGCCAAACCTGTCATTAGCTGCACCCAAATCCAAGAGGCCTCAAGGCCTCGCAGGAAGTCATAGAAAATGACCAGACCGGCCCTGGTTTGGAATGCTAGTGTTAAGCAACCAGGCATTCAACTCTCCCTCCCAGCCAGTTTCCCAATCCAAACTGGTCTTATCCAGCAGGGGGTTATCAGATCACCTACTGTTGTCAAAAGAGGGGGCAGGGCCTCACCCAGGGTCATATGGTGCAGGGCCCAGCACATCAGATGGAGGGAGGAGGTATGGGTCCAGGCCCGAGTTATTAACCAGGGATCCAGAAAACAATGGCTGTCGGGGAACAGAAAGTGTTCTAGTGGTGCAGGCTCTCACTGTAAAGAGCAGAGCTATCCCGTTCCAACCCTTGGGTCCTCACCGCCTTTCTGCCGCCACTCAGAAATGTGGCATCTGTGGAGGGTGCAGGCGGTGGCAGTGGGGGAGCTACCAGAGGTGGGAGAAGTGGGGGATCTCCCCTGCCCCTCAGGCGTAGTCTAGGACTGGTCAGGAGTAGTGGTTCCCGGTGCCCTGGGAGTAGAGAAAATGTCACTGCGTTTCTGACTGGCCCAGCCCAGCTTTGACTGGGTGGAGGTAGATACCAGCGCCCAGCCCATAAATGAATCTGTGGTGTCATTGGGAGAGAAGTGGCACAAACACGGGTCTCATTTCCCGCGAATGGTCCCTCTCCTGGCCTCCCCTGGGCCTGGTAAGTTGGCAGGGGGGTGGGGGGAGGGCAGGGCTGAGAGCCCACTGACCCCAGGTCCTCTGCCCTGCGCCCCTCTGCATCTGCAGGGACATGATTTCCGCCTCCAGGCGCTGGTTCTCAGCCTCCACTACCAGAAGTTCCCCCGAGACAGCACCTGTCCTTCTTTCTGCGAGGAACAAGTCTGAGCTGTTTCATCGAATGGTGGCCATTAAGTCTGGTAGTGACCACCTTTACGACCCTCTGGGACAAAGCGTAACTTGCTAGCTCGTTCTAGGCACTCCCACAAAGACGACCTAGGTTTCCAATAGCAGGGCTTTTGCTTGGATGGTTCCCCTCCCAAAGGTTCTCCTCCCTAAAGTCCTTTCTCTTTTCTGGACTAAGACCACAGCTTCCAAGAGGACTTCTTGTCTGGTCGCTCCTGTTTACCCTTGCGGGCCCTAGACCGCCACAACTCCAGAGCGGAGGCCTCCACGTGGAGCTGCCACATCTGACCGAGAACGCCAGGGTCCCGGCCCCCGCCCCGAACGTAGGCTTCACGCAGGGCCCTAAGGAAGAGCGACGAGGGTGGTGTGAGCACTTCCACACGCCTGATCAGCGCTTTGCTCTAGCCCGGCAAGGACCGCGGACCTCACCCAATCTCGGCGGCCAGCGACTCTGGGTTGGCCTGTAACACCAGGCGACCAAGTGCGGTCTCTTTGTCGGGTTTCGGCGTGGGCCTGAGGGGAGAAGGGAGGGCCGGGAGGCGGCTTCACGACCAGGGGCGGGGCCTCCCGAAGCCACGCCTCTCG